CGCGGGCGCCTCCGGCCGTGCGCTTCCCACCGCAGCCCCGCGAGGGAGCCCCAGCCTCGCTGCGGGCGAAGAAGGCGGCCGCTCGGCTTGCTTGGCGAAAGAGAAGCGGGGAGGGGGGGCGAAACTTGTAAGGCTGAGGACTCCCAGCCTTTCCAGCACCACCACCCCCCCCGCAACCTGGGAGGGCGCTCCCCCTCCATGCACTGCACACCCCGGTTCAGAATGTCCATCCGTGTGGGGAAGGGGGTTTCTCAGCTGGTGGCCCCAGACTGACCGGGTCTCTGGGCTTGGAAGCAAAGCAGGGTCCGGCTTGAGGTGGGTGGAGAAGCATCAGGTGTGGGCGGGGTGGGGTGGGGTGGGGTGGAGTGGAGTGGGCTTGCCCAGAAGAAGCACCCTGCGGCTGCAGAAAAAGTAGGACTCAGCTCAGGAAGGTCTTTAGGGCTTGGATGGGAGACCACTTGGGGTTCCCGAAGCGAGAAGCTAGAGGGGGGTGTTGAAAAATCATCTCCAAAGAAGGCAATAGGAAGCCACCTTGGTTCTGCTGCCAAGAAAACAACATGGGTGTGCCCGTCAAATTGCCAGGTTGACCAAGACCTTAATCTTCCTCGATTTGAGACCCTTCTCTGGACGGCTTCAGCTACAACTTCCATCCTCGTCAGCTCCGAGATGGGCTGGCTGTAGAGTCGAAGAGGAGGTCCAACACATGTGGAAGAAGGAAAGCGAGGGAATGAAGAATTGCTGCCGTAAACAAGAAGGTGTCTGGGAGTGCCTTTGCCGACCCACAAATCTTATTAAAAGATTTTTAATTTATTAAAAGATTTTAATAAGATTTGTGGGTCGGCAAAGGCGCTCCCAGATCCTTTCTGATTTTGTGCAATCCGCACAACTCTCCTTCTACAACAGCTTAAACAAGGTGCAGGTAAAATCAAGAGAAAGACCCAGCAACCTCTTTGAATTTACAAGCAGACCGATGCTTTTAATAAGGGGGTTTTTTTGTAGGTGGGAACAGACGTCTTGCAGCAGAAAGGAATTCGGGGCTGTCCCGAGCAAACCACAATGAAACCCCAATGAAGAGACAGCCAAGTTTGTGCCATGATGCAAATCTTCTCTTTACCTCCTTGCATCTTGGGGCAAGAACATGAAGTCCTAGAATTTGTGTCATGACTTCATGATGCATGTATGCCCTGATGATGTTCTATAAGGTCTTGGAAACTTGGCAGTCTGCAAGGCCTTGGGACAGGGGTGGGGGGGTGAACCCCTGTAAGATTTTATCTGGCATGTTCTGTTTCTGTTTTATATGATTGCTCTGGATTTTAATTCTGTACAGCCCTCAGTCTTGTCTGCAGTTGGGCATTTTGAAATCTCGGTGAATGAATGAATGAATGAATGAATGAATGAATGAATGAATGAATGAATACATACATACATACATACATACATACATACATACATACATAAAACATTTTCATTGCCTCCCCCTCCCTCCCTCCAGACACATATGCCCCTAGGAATGTCCTGACCAAAGTCTGGACAGTTTGGGTCTTAAAAGACAGCTGTCCTTGAAAACTTCCATATCTTGCCCAAGTACAGGTAGCCCTCGTTTAGTGACCACAATTGGGACCGGCAACGTGGCCGTTAAGCAAAGTGGTTGCTAAGCAAATCTGCAACTGGGCTTTGGATCTGATTTCAGCTTTCCTTTGCTTGCAAAGGTGGTCAGTGTGAGGATTGGTTACAAAATGACTTGTTCATCCCCGTCGTAACTGCGAGCAGTCGCTAAACAAGGCAGTCACTAAACAAGGACTACGTGTGTTGGGGTTGAGACTTTCCGAGTCTGCAAAAGGCCTTGGCTGTTTCAGCAAAAAGAAAGAAAAGTGTACCTTTTTTCTGACTGTAACGGGCAGTTGGGGCATGAACTCAACGCCCGGGTGGCTGGGTTCAATGGCTCTCTTGACTTGGAGCATGTGATCGTGGAAGAGCAATTGAATAAGATTCGACGCTGACCTTTTAAGCTTTTAAGACTTTTATATCACCAGCCAGGTAACACGGTGGCGTCTGCCTGAAGAGCTTTTATCCTGCCAGAGGAGGAGAGAGGAGGAGAGAGAGCGCGCAACAGCAAAACAAAATCCAGCAGAGATGGACTCTGTTTCCTGCAGAAGGGAAGGAAGGGACGACCAACCTCTTAGGTCTCAGTATGTTACAACTGCCTTCTTCAAACTTGGCATCTTCCCCAGGCGTGACTCAACTCTCAGAATTCTCAGCGGCCAGGCGGGTTGGAGAATTCTGGGAATTGAAGTCCAGACATCTGGACGGTGTCCAGGTTGAAGAAGGATGGGTTGCGGGGTTTGAATTATAGGGAGCATCTCCGATTCCTGAATTTTCCTGGATATCTTGTCCTTTTGTTTATCATCATCATCATCATCATCATTGTCATCGTCATCGTCACCCTAGCTTTCTTCCAGTAGTTCAAGCAACCGTCCCCAGGGTTGAGGAATGCTAGAAAGTGTAAAACTGTAATTGAAAAACATCTGGAAGGCCCCAAGTTCTTCTCTCTATTTTATAAACAAAATGCATTTACTTACCGTGGTTCCCCTTCTCTTCTGTTTTATCCTAAGATGCCCAGATAACTTTTTGTTATGGAGTTTGTCTCAGAAAACAGAGAGTCTACATGCTGATAATAAAATAAATAATGCGTCAAAAAATAAGAGGAAAGAGGAATGGATAAACATTTCTTTTGCCGTTGTGGCCACGTTTGTGCAAAACACAGACCCCGAAAATAAACAGCCACATTTCGGCCCGTTACGTTGTGCAACGCAGCCTTTCTTGTTCATTCACTGTGGTAATCAAATCCAAAATATTAGTTTACAAGACAAGAGTTATTAGTGTGCACGCTTAGCCAACTGTCCTCGCCAGTTCCCTCTTTCTGACTTTATGAATTGTGCAAAAAGTGGCAGTTCAACAGGTGAAGTTCTCCATCTCCCCACACATTATGGTATTAAAGGAAAGTTAAGGCAGAAAGTAAGGTTCTTTGCCCCCTAGCTATATGACACTGAGGCTCGGTTCACACAACACATTGAACTCTAAGCCTGCATTTAAAAAAACCACAGAGGTCCCTATAACAAATTACGTCCAAGCAAATAAATATATTTTGGCTTAATGTGATACAAGCTAAGACACTGGTTGAGTTTACCCAATATGCTGGGCCAGAAATAACCTAATTCCATTTTAGCCTAATCTAATGGACTGTGTGAACAAAACCATTCAGTGATCAGTCTAGGCAATCATTCCTGAATGACATTATAGCCAGAGCCATCCCTAAACCCAGATCGGTGCATTTTTGCTGTTGCTGTTGAAATGATATGGTTTGCAAAGAATAGCTTAGAAAAACAGAATGATCTCTGGACTCCAATCCATTTCAGTATTAAATATAAATCATCTAGCCAGTGTTTCTCAACCTTGGCAACTTGATAAAAAGGTGGGGGCCCCTCCCCCCCCCCAAAGAACACACAAACCAAAAAAGCAGGGGTGGATACAACACAAAG